GTGACAGGGTGGGGGGGGGGGGGGATTTTTTCCAATTTAAGGTCTATGGTTCCTTTGCTGGTGCCTGTTTCACAATCAAACATTTCAACCAAACATTTCTCCACATAAGACGGCAGAGATCTACTAACTAATTTACACTATAGTGCAGGCAGGGCCGGATTTACTCTCTCTGCTGCCCCAAGGCCAGGTTCCTCAATGCACCCCCCTACCCGCCAAACCCCACCAAGGAGAATGGCAGACCTGCAGGCTGCATACAAGTGATTTCGGCCGGCATCTCCGGGATCTCTTGCCATGAGTTTTGTCCATTTTCCTATTGTTTGGTAGACTAGTATTACAGCCATGGCATGGCCCACTTTTTGATAAAGGCCTCCTCAAATGTGTATTTCACAGCACAACAGCATACAAGACATCTGAGAATAATAAGTGCATAGGAAAGGTTTTAGTAGTATTATGGCCTCTTAGGGATCCTAGACTGGTAGCAGCACTGGTTAAAGTTACAGGCTGCACCTCCATCTTTAGGTTCACCCCCACTGCATCAATAAGAGTCAAAATAGTCTCTCTTTGTCTGCACAGGGGCACTTTTCTCCTGCAGGGATTTGTGAGTCTCTTTATCGGGTAACGCTTTCACAATTGAAGGCTCATAGGCAGTTAAGGCTGGAGGCAGGTCAAATGATGATTCTGGAGGGAAGGCATTAAGGTATGCATGCTTATGTCCTATGTGTTATGAGCCAGCAATGAAAATTGCAATTTGGTCCATAAAATCCTACATGAAGGCGGTAAAATCCTATATAAAGGCAGTGAAATCCAGACTAAAGCCTGTTGGTTTCATGCCCTTGAGAGGAGACACAGCAGTCTCCCTGAGAACTGTTAGTGGATTGGGAGCTGGAGGTGCCCGACACAGCGGGACTGCTCCTCTTGTGTTTGATATCTGACATGCTGCACCACAAACAGGGAAAACATAGCTAACATACAAGAAAAAAATAACTACTGCAAGCAGGAGAGGTTCAAAAGGCTGGAGGTGACTCCACACTGTAGGCCACAGCAAGGGTGAACCTGCAATTAGAAGCAGTAACAGAAGGGTGCTCAATCATGCTTGAAAAGAGTGGGGAGTGTGCATGTATTGCATTCCATCTAGTCACACAGCACTTATTTCCTCAGTGTTTTATCCATTTCCGAAGGGGGGATAATAATGGAGCCCAAGGGGTCTAACAAAGCAGTTCCTGATGCTCACGCCCGTACTCATTAAGAGTCTTCAGAGACCGGGTCACATCAGAGGCCGTGTCATAGCACAGTACACAGAGGTCTGGAAAGTGCCACAAGCACAGCCCAGTGTTGAAAGGTCCAATTTCAATCATCCAGTAATGTCTAAGTATGACCTTCAAAGCTATTGCTGAGGATATGCCGACCCAGATATTTCATAAAGAGATAAGCTCAACCAGCTTGTAGATGAAGTCTTGATTGAATGAAAAAGTAATTTTGAGAAAAAAAAGATGGTTACTAAAAGCAATTAAACTTTTTTTCTTTAAAGAAAAGATGTCAATCCTCCTAGAACACTAGCAAAAAAAACCGAAGGAATGCTGGAAATGGAAGGAGTTATACCAGAGACTGGATCGTGGTTCTTTTGTTTACCAGTGTCCAAATCCTCCTGCTGGCAACAGTATAACCCAGAGGCCATTGTCTCTGAATCCTGAATAGTCCCAGAAAAAATGAGAAAGAAATTGTCCTGCTAAATTCTATCAAACTCTGAAAAAGGATTAAGAGATGGTAGGGTATACAGCAATGTATTACTTGCCAGTGGCAGTACAGTTTTAGGAACTGAGAATATGCCTACCTTTTATTTTTACTTTGGGGATAGGGGGTGCAGTGAATGTGAGTGATATAATGTAAGGTGGTTCAAGTGCACGCTGTTCTTACACTTATTTTTTTTCTTCCTGCAAACAAAGGGTAGCTCCAAAAACAGCTGATTAGCAGCAAGTGAATGTTGCTCTTTGAGCACCCTAAACTAAAAAAAAAAAAGACCTTATCAACATAAAATAAAAACCAATATACCACTAAAAGAAAGACTTGCAGCATTAAAAAAAATGCCTGTTCATTTAGATCTGGCTGCCCATAGAGTAACATTGGGCTTCCAATCATATTAGCCCGAAAAACTGACAGGCAGACTTGATCAGACCGCCCCTGTGAATGGGGCCTTATGCTAACAAAAGGACTCCCCCATGATCCTATTAAGGCAGTTCTAGTAGTAGGAGGCTGTTTATAAGAAGACAAAGACTAGTTATGGCCCTGGGTGGAACCATAAATAGATTCCCTTCAGCAGGAAAATAGTAGCAGAAGAGAACTTTCTCATGGGAAATTACTTTGACATGGTTAAGAAAAATAAAATGTTTTTGCTGGTCCAATGCTGTCAGAACCCCTGTGTCTCAATAACCTTTACAAACACAGCAAATATATAATACAGATTTTGTCACTGATCCTGTATTATCAAGTGCTGTTAAATATACACCATGAAATCTTCAATTTAGTTTTTTTTCCAGACAGAGACAAACTAATGTTGGCAATACAGTTTTCTGTGCTGCTTCTGTTACCAGGAATTAAGCAGTGCTTCATGTTAAAATGAATATTATTCTGCATGAGCTGTTTTTTTCTCCTCATGAAAAAGCAGTGTTTCATGTTTTGTTTTTTTATGTCATCCTATCAAAAGGGCTATAAAACTCAAATAAAATGTAAACACAAGTTGCTTATCATTTAGAACTAAGTGCTACACTTATCTTATTGGGAAAAAAAAACTACAGCAGAAGTCAACAACAAGCTCAATTCACAAAGTTTAACAGAAGGATAAGTATCTTTATTTTAGCCATGTAACTTTAATTTTCAAATCTTATTGGTCTCCACATAAAACAACTGTCACTTTTTTTAAAATAAGTAGCCTTATCCTGGTGTGCTACCTTTGTGAATTAACCTTATTGTCAGTTACAAAGTATGCACTAAAAGAAATATTTATCAAAAAATGATTTCTATTTTATTGGCTCACATTAAAAACTGTAAAAGCTCAACTCCAGCCAAAATAATTTTTTTCAGTTTTATATAGAATGGGAAGTGGATAGATCTCTGTCAGAATTTTTTGGTTGTTGTCAGTGGCTCCATTGAGAAGATTTTTTTTTGCTTCACTAAAAGTGTCCCCAATGGCGAAATCATCTGCACTGGGACAGGAAGTGATGGGGAAATCTCCAATCAAGACAAAGAAAGCAAAAAACCCTTTTGTCTTTTAAAACAGGGATGGGTTAGAACAGTGGTTCTCAACCTTTTCAGGGCCGGGACCACTTGGTAACATTTGCCAAGTTGTGGTGACCCCCAACCGTAAAATTTAGGGATGCACCAATACTAGTATCTGTGTGGGCTCTCAGGAGGCTATGCGGGCTCTCAGGTTGCTAGTGGGACTCTCTGGTGGCGTCCAGTGCGGGCTCTGTAGTGCCTAGTTGTGGGCTCTATGGTGATCAAGCATTCACCTTCCCTCACTCCTGCCTGCTCTCCTCTCTCTGATCCTCTCCGTCCGCTGCTGCTGCAGCGCCACATAGGAGAACTGACACTGCCACGCTAGGAGGAGGCTGAGTAGCCTCTTACCTAGAGCAGCACAAGGCAAGTGGGGACCCCCTCAACTGTGGGTTGCGACCCACTTTTGGGTCCCGACCCACAGGTTGAGAACCACTGGGTTAGAAGAACCCTTATTACTTTATTACAAACACTCCTCTCATTTCTTGTACTAATGTCATTGGAAGATTTCCTCTGTATTCCTGTTCTGGTGATAACTCAACATTTTGTTCCCTTTTAACTTTGAATCCCAGTGACAATGGTCACCATAACAAATAGAGAGGGTGAATCTCCAGAGAGGAGAGAGATAGCAATAGACACTGCAGAGGTTCTAGCCCTTCCATGCTCACTCCAAATCCAAGAAAATGTTTGCTTTTGTTGAATATGATATTTGATGTCATATTTTTATGTCATATTCATATTCTTGTTCTTAGGGTGAAAAGTTTAAAAAAGGAAAATAGCTTCCGTTCTTGCATATAATAATATTGTTATAATTTGTTATAATAATTATTATTATTGTCATCATCATTATTATGATCTTATAAAAAATATAGGAGATGTAACTAGAACGTATATAGTTTGCTGACTGATGCTTCTGAGTATCTACAATAATATGATTCCTGCTTTGTGTATCAATAACCCAATTAATAATTGTTGTATGTTACAGCTTCTACAATCCCTGAAGGCTGTTAATTTCACTTACAAGGGTAGGACTCTCTTCTTTGATTCCAAAGGTGATGCCAGTACAGGATATGATGTGCTAATCTGGAAAAAGGGCCCTGATGGAAAAATAAATATTACCCCATTTGCAGAATATGACACACAGAAAGGTGTGTTTAGATTTAGCACCAAGGATAAAGAAAATGAGTTCACACTTTTAAAGGTAAGAAAACAAGAGCAATCTTTACTTTTACAAATTTAAAGTGACACATGTAAAGTATTAGCGTTGCCGTTGCTGGACTACTGAAGAAAATGCTAGTTGCTTGCTTGTGTCTGTTTCAGGGCTTGTTCACACCAGCAGCCGCACTTAACTGAATGGCTGCTGGTCTGCGCGTGCCTGGACAGTAAGGATGTGCTTAATCAAGCTATATCACACTGTTTTTTTGTTAGAACTTTATTGAAATGTAACAAGGGACATTTCATTAAGTTATATGGACGCACCATGATGCGATGCTGCCATACTTTTTTTTAAGCACACAGTGCTGGAACGTGGGGGTGTGAACTTTACCCACCCAAGACAAGGCAAATTGCTTTGTCTTGCATTCGGGCTGCACTGGAAAAAAACAGCCAACACAGCCTGAATGCATTTGGTGTGAACAGGCCCTTAGTGCTTTTGTGTCACAGACCCAGAATATGCATGCTATAAATGAGAGTGAGAAAGGTTTCAGAATATCTTATACATATACCTGTTTAGACCCAGAGGGGGTGATTTACTAACCTAAACACACGCACGCACCAGGTGCGTGTAATTTTTACACAGCAAAGCGTATTTATCAACCAAAAAGTCTCTATAAGCATGTTTCCACTAACGCCATATATGGAAAAATCATGCACATGATGCATATATAATGCTGCTTCACAGTTTAGACAAAAATGGTTAGCTCATGCATTTACATTCCTGCATTCATCAACGCAAGCAACACAATGTAGAGCTAATTTACACAACATCACCTTGCAATTCAGGGCAGGGCTTTGCACAACACACCTGCTGGGTGTGTACACACTACAAAGGTGTTTAGATTCCACCCATAGATCATGCTGGGAGGGAACACACTACAGAGGTGTATACATGTTCGTGGTGTGTTTATAAGGTTAGTAAATCAACCCCAGAGACTCAGAAGGCAGTGTGATAGGCTGATATAGATAAGGGTTGATTAGTAAAAGCTTAGCTTTCAGTTATTATTATAATACAGGATTTATATAACCATGGGACCATGGGGAACAAAAGTAGCCACCCTCTAGAAGGAAGTGTGATACACAAGTAAGCTACATTTTTTGTTATTTGAGTTATTTGAATGCAGTATCAGCTGTGCAGAAGTCATAAATCTGAGTGAGAAAAGCTATGCTTTTCTAACAAGTTAGGTTAGCTGGAGACAGTTCAATGCATAAAACACTTACAAAATGAGAAGACTTAGCACAGCAACAAGATATAAGGTGGCCTTGCTGAATCATCAAGGTCTCTCACAGGCAGAAATTTCAAGGAAAACAGGTGTTTCCAGCTATGCTGTCCAAGCTTGTATGCAGAAGTACAAAGAAACAGGCAGCGTTGAGTACCAAAAATGCAGTGGTCAGCCAATTAAACTTAGTGTAGTAGATGCAAGACATATCATACTGACGTCCCTTTGCAAATGGAAGATGTCAAGTGGAACTATCAGCTTAGACTTAGCTGAAACCAGTGGGATCTTGGTACACCCATCTAAAGCCTGCAGAAGTCTGGTCTTCATAGAAGAGTAACAAAGAGTACAAATTTGAAATATGTGTCTGTTATAGAAAGTAATTTGTTTGCTGAAGGCCTGGTGAGTGGTACATAGATGAGTGTCTGCAACGCCATATATGGAAAAATCATGCACATGATGCATATATAATGCTGCTTCACAGTTTAGACAAAAATGGTTAGCTCATGCATTTACATTCCTGCATTCATCAACGCAAGCAACACAATGTAGAGCTAATTTACACAACATCACCTTGCAATTCAGGGCAGGGCTTTGCACAACACACCTGCTGGGTGTGTACACACTACAAAGGTGTTTAGATTCCACCCATAGATCATGCTGGGAGGGAACACACTACAGAGGTGTATACATGTTCGTGGTGTGTTTATAAGGTTAGTAAATCAACCCCAGAGACTCAGAAGGCAGTGTGATAGGCTGATATAGATAAGGGTTGATTAGTAAAAGCTTAGCTTTCAGTTATTATTATAATACAGGATTTATATAACCATGGGACCATGGGGAACAAAAGTAGCCACCCTCTAGAAGGAAGTGTGATACACAAGTAAGCTACATTTTTTGTTATTTGAGTTATTTGAATGCAGTATCAGCTGTGCAGAAGTCATAAATCTGAGTGAGAAAAGCTATGCTTTTCTAACAAGTTAGGTTAGCTGGAGACAGTTCAATGCATAAAACACTTACAAAATGAGAAGACTTAGCACAGCAACAAGATATAAGGTGGCCTTGCTGAATCATCAAGGTCTCTCACAGGCAGAAATTTCAAGGAAAACAGGTGTTTCCAGCTATGCTGTCCAAGCTTGTATGCAGAAGTACAAAGAAACAGGCAGCGTTGAGTACCAAAAATGCAGTGGTCAGCCAATTAAACTTAGTGTAGTAGATGCAAGACATATCATACTGACGTCCCTTTGCAAATGGAAGATGTCAAGTGGAACTATCAGCTTAGACTTAGCTGAAACCAGTGGGATCTTGGTACACCCATCTAAAGCCTGCAGAAGTCTGGTCTTCATAGAAGAGTAACAAAGAGTACAAATTTGAAATATGTGTCTGTTATAGAAAGTAATTTGTTTGCTGAAGGCCTGGTGAGTGGTACATAGATGAGTGTCTGCAGGCAACAGTAAAGCATAGTTGAGGTTCCTTGCAATTTGCAGCTGCATTTCTAAAAATAGCATTGGGGATTTGGTCATAATTCATGGTCTTCTCAATGCTCAAAAGTACAGGCAGATACTTATCCTTCATGCAGTACCATCAGATAGGTCTCAAATTCATTCTGCAGCAAGACAATGACCCTAAACATACAACTAAAGTCAAAAAAGAACTATCTACACCAAAAAGAACACAGACTCTTGGAAGAGATGGTATGGCCCCCACAGAGCCTTGATCTCAATATCTGGGATTACAGGAAGAGACAGAAGCAAATTACCTATGGTCAGCACTCCTAGATGATTAGAACAACCTACAAATACCTAGAACTTTTGCACAATACTGTATGTTGTAAAAATTAACAAGGAGACTGGTTGATATGGGCAATACTTCATTTCTTTGCTTTACTCTTCCTTTTTATAAGACTTAAACTAAGCTCAAAAATAATTAATTGTGTGTTTCTCTAATATAAGGTTACATGAACCTCACTACAATTTATAGTATCAACATATCTCTTTCTACATGACTGTTTCAAGCGTAAGACCACCTAAAACTCTTGTTTCAGCTATTGAGCATTGAGCCTCTATTGCTATTGCAGGTGCTTTCTCCATAAGACAAACAAAAATATGAAGGTAAAATTGTGACAACCCTGCAAAGACTGCAGGCTTTGGAACTCAGGTGCATTCATTTCACCTCTGCAATCCCTGAGAGATTAACATTTCTATGTCTGGCTGAACTGTTTCTCTATTATCATAGGAAGGACCATTTCTGGGGAGTGCCGCTTTCAGGGTTAATGTAACCCCTATCATCATTAAAAACCTTCTAATGGCCTTCCATCAGTCTCCCATTAGCATGGGCAGTCTTAATTCTAGCTGAAGAACTCCACACCACAGTATAAGCAGGTTAAGATAGGAGAGAAGTTGTGATATTCCCTTCACTGAAATTTTAGTCCATAAACCTAAGTTATGTTCACTTTAAATAACTAACCAGTCATGTTTCAGCAAGAAGCCTTTTTTATTAAATGCCTCACACATTAATGGGTACTCCAAGTGAACATGGGTTCATCTTAGTTGTTAACATTTACTTTGCAAGGTAAACATACCTCTAATCCTTTAGTAAATCAACCCCACTGATTGTGAATGAAAAGGTTGCTATACTACTGCTATTTGATCTGTATCTGTTAAGATATCCATAGACCTGAGATGGTGCTTTAAAACCCTACTGACTAAATTGATTTTATTTTTCACTTAATTGACTGTGGAATAAAATAATCTAAGTGTGCATGCTAATTCACTGAGTAGACATCACTGTCATCTGCTTTATTTTGGTGAGCTGTAACAAATGGTTGAGAAAATCCATCCCAGATTGATCAACTTGCGATGCCCACAGAGCTTTTAGGCCTCTTTCACATGTGTGCTAAAATCAGGCATTAGAGAGGTGCTTAAAGCCTCTCTGCTGCCTATTAACGCTCATGTGGGATAATGCAATAGCAACCGTCCAGTGTAGTTCACACATGGGAGTTAGCAATGTGTTGTGTTGCTGCATGTTAAAAAAAATAGCATGTTGTTGACACTGGACAAATGCCTCCATTGAAGTATATTGGAAAGCCCCTTAAATGCTCTGTCAATGCTCCTATGGCATTTTACGGGCATTTAAGAAATATTGCACAGGTGTTTTAGGAGCGGCAGAGGAGGTTTTGCAATCCAAGAAACCTCTGACGAGTGAGTGGACAGAGTAGGTACAGATGCCACTTCCTGTCTGCACAAAGCCAGCATTTTACTAGCAAGAGGACAGCTTCTAGACAGGCACTTGCAGCCTGTGACAGCCAGACCTATTCCACCCTGTAGGGCCAGCGGTTAGAATGTTTATAGACTAAGGGGTCTATTCACAAAGCTGCCGAAGGATCTGGCCGTAGCTTCGGCCGATCCTTCGGCTGGCTTCGGCCCCAGGACCCCTTCGGTTCAGGAGAACCGAGGGGGTGCTGTACGGACTATTCACAATAGCCCGTACAGCTCCCGATCACGGCCGAGCAGCTCAGTCGAGCGCTGAGCCGTGCTGAAAGCCGAAGCTGGCCGTGCTTCTGCTTCTGACAGCTGGGCGGCGCCAGCCGTGATCTTACGGCATTATCATACCTGGGATGTCTACTGGACTCTTGTTTGGACAGATTTAGGTGAGTTATTCCTAAGATTTACTAAGAATTACAGGCCTACAATATAAAACAACAAATTTCCATGAAAAACAATGTACCGCTTTGGGATGCTAAAATCCTGAATAATCATACCGCCAGGGAGGTTAAACAGACCACACTAAGGATGATTTACTAAAGGAGTTGAGACTCTTCTCTCAATAAATTGTGCAAAGATTCACATAAAATCTCCAATCATATGAAATGCTAATTTAATTTTTTGTTTCATCCGCATATGACTGGATAATTGAATCTGTACTCAGTTTATTGGGTGAAGATTATCCACTCCTTTAGTAAATCAACCTTACTCCATTCTACACAACTCAATGCACACCTCACCAAGCAACCCATTACATTCTACAGCATGCAACCCAATACAGAACGCACCACATACCCCATTAAACTCCACACCACACCACACAACTCAATACATACTGTACCAAGCATCCCA